TCTTATTCGACTCCAGGCCGGTTAAGTAGAGCACATGAAATGGTGAGTCACATGATACACTCTTAACGAACGTTCGGATCAGCGGCGAATCAATCAAAGGGTCCTGGAACTGGAAGAGTCAGGAAATATACTCACGCCTCGATGTAGTAGTGATTATCCATGATGGTGGCCTTAACTGCATCGACTGCCGACATTCGGTCATACCACTCGAATAGTTCAGCGAGCTTGGGCAGGGACGATCGATCGAAAGCAAATGCTGGACCTGTCTAGGTTCAAGGTGCCGGAGATAATAGGTCATCGACAAGTCATTCGATAGAATATCGACTAGTGCGTAAGACACAAGATATTGAGTGGGACTCGTCTCACCTTTATAATAGCCCAGGAGGAACGATCTCAGTATCCAAGGATAAGCAGCGATATCGACAATACTCATCGCTGAGCCGTTGAAGAAAGGCCCTCTCATCTGAAGTTATAGCAACCCTTAGGAGGCAGTTCACCCGTAGCGGAACGAGGTGCACCTCCGAGATGAACTTCTTGGCGCCGGCAACCATCTTGTCGAACTCGGCTTTATCACCCCGCATTAGGACCGCGTAGAATGGTGAGGTGATGTTCTTGTTATAGAAGGTAGCCCTCTCGAGGAGACGTTGCCTGTCCGAAAAGGAGGCGATGATTCGAAGGTCGGTCGATAGAAAAGCGCACCTCTCCGTGGGGTCATCCCGAGGTAGCAAAGGTTCTCCGGGGAAGCCGAACTTGGCAGCCAAGCTGTCTATATACTCCACCACAACGAGAGACTCGGTGACCTTGACCCAGGAACACGCTCTCAGTTCTCCTCCTACGCCGAACCGTCGCCTACGACTTCTTCGCGTCCATCAGGCCAGTTGACGAGCAGCGTTGGGATAAGGCCTTTGGGATTCTTCTCGAGCAGTAGAGGATGCTTCTTATATTCCGCAGCACCTTCAGCAAACTCACGGCTTCAATCAACTCGAATGGGATCTATGGACTACGATCATAGTGAGCATCATACAGCTGAG